AGGGTTTTCGTATGGCAAATGCGGTGTTTCGCCATTAACCATGGGTAGGGTCGGAGTATCGAATTCAGACCGGTCCCGGGTCAGACCAAATAAGCCTTTTCTCCGGTTTCGGTTGAAAGCGCATCCGCTGTCCCCAGCAAGCCATATGGGCCAAATCCCTTCAAATCAGCACTTTGCGTTTCTGAATGGAAGCGCAATGTGTGGCGCATCCGAGAAGATTTGATCAACAACGACTTCCTCTATTTTCGTGGAAGAACTGGGACAGGATGTCGAGAAATTAGTAGCAGACCAGACGATTCAAAAAAGCAGACAAGATCGTTTCGCTTTCTTGCCAGAATGCGACAGAAAGTCGACAAAAACCTTGCGTTGCACACTTGTCCTAATCACAGGTGACGGGCTGGAGCGAGTTTCGTGCGGAAGTTCCGGAAAAGGGGCGGTCGTGAAGGGGCAGTGGGTCACTACTGTCACCGGCCGTCGCGTGCCCGGTCCCCTACCGTTAATGAGGCGATTTCTGATCATTCTGCTTATTGTCTTTCTGCTCAATGTCGGCTTGGCAAAAATTCACCGACTACGGCATCTGCACAAACCGCATCGAGTTTGTACCGAGCCACCCACACTGGTAAGGTACCTTATATGTTAAGTGAAGGAGGTTGAAGTTCCAGACGCTGTTTAATTGCTTGGTTATGCGCCATGAATACAGCTTCCATTCTGGAATTGTGAACGCATTTCGATGCGTATTATTTATCTATTTATTTATTTATTTATTTATTTATTTATTTATTTATTTATTTATTTAGTTGATGCACGCATAGGTGCGCTATATCATAGACAATAGGATACCGCTTGTGCAAATGGAGTTTGACCGACCTCAACTAGTAAGGGAAAGGGAGTTACTATGCAACAAGAGAAAAATAAATAATTTCTGTCCATTCGAAGAAATTGTTGAGCAGATCAACGTGTTCACCTACTGATGACTCTAGATAGGCGGATGGCGCTAGGGATAACGCCACTCCTAGACGAGCTCGGAGCATACGTACGGAATCCGAAACTGAATTTTCGGATGTTAGGTATTCCCTACCCCTAACAATTCAGTTTCGGACCCGCCTTTAAATTCAATCCAGATCAACCATCTGAACACAACTAAGTAGAGCTTAGTCAGAAGAAAGAAGGTTAGTGGATACTCGCAATTATGCACGTAGAGGTCCCTTCCCAAGCTGTTAAGGTCAATCAGTCAAAATACAATAGCAGGATCCACAGGATTAGCAATTGTGAAAGGAACTCAGAAAGAAGAGGAAAAAAACAAACAGAAACAAACAGAAAAGTAAAAATCTACTATCGCTGTCTTCTCATCTACGGGTCGGCTGAAGGTTTGAGCGCAAGAGGGGAACGTTTCGAGTAAGCATCCGGTTACTGAAAAAAAATCTTGAAGCATATTAGAAGTCTTGAATGCCAAGAAGAACTAAAAGATCTACTTTCCTCAAATTCTTCTTGAAAATGCTGACATTTCGAGCCCTTTGAATTTCCGTTGGCAGCATCTGAAGCCACTTCGCTCCCCGAAAAATTAGGGAGCTGGAAACCTTGTTCCGATGTTTTCTAGCAAGCTTGGGGCATGTTAGAGAGAACACATTGGTGCGCCCACGGGAAGGCCGGAACACCCAGTAAGTGCTTGGCTTCAGCTTCAAATTGCCTTTGAGCAATTTGAAACAGAAGACAATGTCATTGAAAATACGTCTATATAGCAGGGTCTTGAGTTTGAAGCGCTGTAGACGTTCTCTATATTCTGGCATACAAGACGGGTAATCTGGATTTGGGTAGCACCGATACATCAGTATTTTCGTGAAGGTTTGTTGAACCTTCTCGATTCTAGCTTGGAGTTTTCTGGTGTACGGACTCCAAACTTGTGATCCATATTCCAGTATCGGGATTACATAGGTCTTATAAAGTTTTAGGAAAAGTGACACGTCGTTATAACGAATATTTCTGAAAATGGTAGAAAGGGCTCTGAAAGCTTTCTGTACAATTCCATTAAGATGAAGCTCGAAATCTAGTTCAGTGTTGACTAAGAACCCAAGGTCACGGACGTCATCAGATACGCGGAGTGCTACTTCACTGAAAGTGTAAGGAGACCGATGAGCCTTCCCAATGTGGAGCACCACTGTTTTTTCAAGGTTGACAGGTATTCCCCAGGCGTGGCCCAATTCATCCCATACATCTGCTTTGTCGGATCATCCAGTGATTTTGGTCAGTGCCATTCCCAATAGTGGTCACTACTGCTCGAGATGGCCCATAGTCGGAGGCGTTCAGTTGGCTTAGCTTGGGTCGCATCAGAAGATTTGTGCACGTGCTGGCGGCTCCATCGATCCCGTGTGAAGCACCTTATCCGCAGTCGTTTTAATCCTTAAAACTATCACTCTTTGCTGCCCACTCCTCTGAAACTGAGTCAGATTTTGATCGTAACTTGTCTATGCTGAGGAGTTCGCTGGAAAGCTGGCTCACCAGGGTAAATACCAAACCTGTAGACACGCAAATATCACATTTCTTTTAGCGCTAAAAGCGTTGGGGCGTGTCACAGGCCTGCCGTTTGATTGTGCGTCGCGCGCCGTAGCAGAGCTGTAAGCGTACTACGCAGCGAAGCAGGATCGATATTTCGTGTTCTACAGGTTTAAAAACTACTTCTTGATGACGAAATTCGGCGAGATTCGGTGATCCAGAGTTTGGCGCTCGCCTATTGGCGCATTGTGACTTAGGCAGCCCAGAAGTTTCCCGCCGAAACGAATGTCATTCGTTGTTTCTACGGGTGTCGAACTACCCAAGAATATAATTTTCGCGGCTATTCGCAGTCGCCCAATTATATGGGGCATTGTGGATGGGCCATTACACTTCGAAATCGTGTAAAACATTGTATTTTTTGTTGAAAACGGGGAAGCCTTAAGTAGGTGAGAAGAGAGCCCAAGGTGCTTGAGTCATTTTCATTTTCTCTGGAATTCCTGCTTTCTCCTAGGCCTTAGATCCAGGAAGGATTGCTCCCATATTGCGCACTAGCGCCAACTTCTAACCATCCCACATCCTGAGAGAAGTTTCAGATAACATCCCTACTCGGTATTGGTGAAGGGGGAGCTGTCAAGGTAAATAATGACCAACTCTAGCAGCTTTTGAGCTTTCACTGCTTTTTCCACACTTCTCGTCCCGGTTCCAGCAGGCATGTTCCGCCTGATCAAAGTGCCTCGAAAGTTTTTTAATCTGAAGATTTCCAGTCCCCTTTCTTATTCGCGAACGAGAAAGGATGGCTGACTTAACATGACCTAAAAAGTGGAGCGGGTCTCCGGCTGGAATTGGTGTTGATACACGGTGATGGAGGCGCTATCAAGATCTTAGCACCTGTTGGTGATATGAAAGGTTTCTTTGGGTACAACTTTCGTAATGCGCGTAAAAACCGCCTTTGTGGGTTATCAAGGGTCCCACCTAGAGGAACTGGCTTAAAACGATCTCGTAAGGGGTTTTCCCGACGTGGGACCTTCCTTGGGTTGGGAATGTGGTTCGCCTGTTGGCCTAGTCCTTGGGAACGTTCCCCGGAGACCCAGTTTTTGAGTGAATCCAGGATTTGAACCGCTACCGTTCACCAGGACAACGGCGCTTTGAGCCACTGCTCTCTCCCTATCTTGAACATGAACGTGATTTTCGATTCATTCGCATTAGTCCTCGTCCTTTTGCGTGTCCACGGCGTCTCCCTTTCTTTCGTTGCGCCACCAGGTATCTGTCAAAACAACGTATCCGAGGAGACTGTTGCTTCGACAACAACGTCACGATATCACCGACTCGGTCCCGAAAAGGGTGATAAATGAGGGGCGATGAAGGTGGCGCAGTGGCGAAAAACGTTGCTAAACGCACTGGCTCTTGAGATCAATCCTGCGGCATTTTTTTTGAAATGATCTTGTGATTTTGTTATCAGAAATTAAGACAGGGTGATAGGACCTCACGGTTAATTATTGTAGAGGTAAGCTGGAGCTGTGCTTTCCAACGCTTCTGCAATTTCGAATGAAACTTATATGGGTGGCGTATCCCAGATCATTACGCTGTATTTAACTCCTTGTATAGTTACTTTCCTTTTTTGCCTTGCAATTTACACATTTATTCACAGTGATTATCTGTGATGATATAAAATAAATAAACAAATAAATACATAAATAATTGCGCTATCACTTTTCCCAATCAAATCATATCTACGCCTTCTTAGAGAGACGATCTGGCTGCATGGATGCGCGAATCTCTTGGAGGAGTGGGTGGAGAGCTGGATGAAGAAGTGGGCACCTCCGACAGCAGAACCACCGATTTGCAGTCGATCACCTCGAGCCGAAGGTGACACAACCGTCATGCAGAGAGCCATGTGCCCGTGGGAATCAAGGTCTGTATAGGTGTTCCGATTTCCGATTTCCGAGTTTGGATGTCATCTGATTGTTTAGAGTGGATTTTGACGAGACGCGTGAGCCGAAGATCGTCTCCGAAGCGGTGTGTTTGTGCCGTCGAAGTCGCGGAGCCACTGGAGCGTTCTGTCTGCCCATAAAGAGAGAGGTAAGCAAACGTTTTCTCGAAAAATCGCTGAAATAAAAATCAAAGAAGCCTTTTCTCGACACCATTGGGTTTTTTCCATTTGACGCTTTACTTTCTATTTCACTCGCGGAAAATGTCGGAGCGAAAATCGGGAGTCAAAAAGCGTCGTTTTTACGCCGCAAGTGCGCGCATCGTCGCGCGGTGACTTCATCCCACCACTAGGTTTGCTGACACTAGCTATTCCGAAGTGCTTCATAATAATCATTTTGATTAATATA